AATTCAATCACTGTTGTCTTAACAGTTCCTTATCTCACATTTCAGCTAACTGTTCATTGAACGACAAAAAATGGCGCAAGCAACATTTAAATAGCCTAAACAGACTCTTCATGCCAATTACATTACTTACTTTGGAAAACGGATAAAATTCACTAAAATTCACTCAATTAAACAAAAAATTAACATACGACCAATAAATTATTTACATAGACTGCAACTTAGCAACATGTAGATGACGTAACGGTTTAAAAGCAAAATGTATGAAACAAAAGCAGAGAAAACGTATCGAACAGTGAAAACAAGTAAATAGTCATTACACGCCTAGGACAATATTCAGAAGTCCAAGATACGACTTTTTTGTGGAAAAGTGATTGCATGCAATGCTTTCTTCGGTCGGATCCGCTGTCTAATTTCCTGAACCTTGCGTTCAAGCAAGGTCTTCGAGTTTTTCGAATTCAGCTACATAATGACCAACGTAACAAAAAGTAATAAACACTGAAAACAAAGCGAACAAAACAAGCAGTGTACCTTTTGAAACTGCGCTTCGACATTCCATTTCGGTCGGATGACGTAATCTTTCATTTCAGGGCGTGGAACCCTAGCTCTGCTAATCCATCCTTTATCACCAGGTTTTAATGGTCTGACAAAAAATCAGTTCATTATACAGTAAATATTCACAAGAAATATACTTCTTCGTCTCGTCGCCGTCCGTTTCTTCGGTTAGTTTAACAAAAGTCTCCTCCATATCGCTACTGAAAGGAGAGAACAAGTCTTGAACTGTTTAAAAGCTATAAGAACTACTCTGCCATATAGCTTAATATTAGATAGCTAATAAATTTAAACCGTTGTACCAATCGGAAAATAGATACAGTCTTAAAGGGAACTATGATTATCAACAGCAATGCTATGAAACTTCATCAGGCAACTAAGCATAACAGCCTTGGTCAGTTAATAAACCACAAAATAGTAAAAATGTCAGTGAAAGCGAGGCTGATCAAGCCGACAGTATTCCACTGATCTGCTGATATCAAATTTAAAGGATACTACAAAAACGAAAAAAGACATGCCAATAGAGAAAATGACATAACGTAAGGAAGACTGACAGTATTTTAAAGGGCCAACGGATAACAGCTCATGATAACAATGAACGAGAGTAGCTCAAGCGCAAGTCACCGAAATGGAATGGTGCCGTGGAGACACACCGTTTGAATTACCTTGCAACAGTCTTGACTAGTGATGGCGAGACGAATTCTGAAGTGATGCAGACAGGCATATACGAATTTTAGACGGCTGTGTGAAGTACGATAAGATTGGTCTAAGAGGTAACGTAGATCAACATTTTGCAAGCAGCCCATTCACGATGCTGTCACACATATAGAAAATATATGTTCTGAACCAAAATGAACCATTTCCGGTGATAAACGAACAGCTACCAACGACAAGTCTGAAGAAAACTTTCTACTACCAGAACTCAAAAACCGGTGCCAAGCTTGGCTTGATCAATGGTTGAAAGAGAATCGAAATCGTCGCCAAAACTTCCTGCGTCTGCTGGGTGCAGACCCGATCATAACGATGAACATGATCTATGCAGCAGCAATGACAGATTCCAAATATTCATCTGAGATAATGTTGAGCGGCATAACAAATCCTGGCTATTTTCTGTTTTGCTTTGTCAATCTCAGATGACGATGACAACAGTGACAATAAATAAAAAGCAATTAAAACCACTGTCTGAAAAAAGCAGGATCGAAATCGCAAGGTTCCAGTAAACAAAATGAGAGTAATTAAAACAAATAAGCATTGCTGATTAGGCTTCCACTTTCGTCATTTCCTGACGACGACCGATGCCAATTCATTCGAAACGTTGCAATCATAAATAATTTTTTTGCTGCCAACCACAGAATTTAAAAGCCAATCACTTTTAGGTTATCCACGGCTCAGTATCAGTAGAAATTAATATAGCGAGAAATCTAAATGCTCGAGCAATCTGAGCACTCCCTATCAACTGTGGAGTTCGCCTTTGCTATTGGACATTGCTCTCTACTGACTGCTTTAAAACAGTACTGATCCTGGCAGACGAAGATCTCATTCTAAAGGGGAAGTGCAGTTCAAGACATCTGCCTAGATATCTTGCTGATATGGAGTATGCAGATTATATCGTATTTATGAGTAGCACGGGTAGTGGTATTCGTGACTTGCTAGCTTCTATGTGTAACGTGGCTGCGAAAGCCGGCCCTGCCTTAATGTTCAAGTCTGTAAACCCATCAGACACTGCTCCATAATAGAAGAAACCACAGTAAGTCATCAGTTAAAACATCTACGATAAATCACTTCCAGCGATGGCATCATCCAATCAGATTCAAATAGAGGGATTCCCCTCAACTCCACTGCTTTGGCGACCTGCCAAATACTTGAGTCGAAAAATATTCCGCCTGCAGCTCGCCCCGATAAGGTAGATGTTGCTGTAGGGTATGGAAATAGCCATTCTAAAGAACGATCAAAAAGTTCAGCTGAACGTTAGCTGCGACGTACAATAACAGTTAAATGGCACGACAAGACATGGAATGACTATTCCCATCTGGGTACAGGTGACTGGTTGATGAAAAGATTAGGAAAAGAGGTTGGCCCTATTAGACAAACTAACTGGGTCTAAATCATTCACTTCAGCCGTTGAGCTTCTTCTGTAGGAGTCGAAACATGGTTGGCCGGGAGGCCAGCGTGCATGCTGGAGAAACGAGGCAGAGACCAATATGCTTTCGGGATATTTCCTTCTGCGATTCAGTAACTGGTGCCTTATGGTGTGTTGTAAAGTCGCCCGTACAGCGGACGTTACGAACTAGAGACGTTCTGTTTTACAAAAGAGTCAAGGTTATGTTCACACAAAGAAATAAAATGTTGAAATGAAAGTAGTTCAAACAGAAAAAGTTTAGTCATAGACGAAATACCATTGACGAGATCGAAACATTGTAACTACAATAAAAGGGCTCTTCAGTCACTTGCCGTTAACCCGTACAAATGTAGGACAAACAGAAACCTGTAAAGCAACTTAAAAACCCACATTTACCTAGGTCGACCTCTTTTTGTTGGCGGCATACGTTCGTAGTCGCTTTGCATTCGTTCTTCCTTAGTAATTGATCGGTAATCGGATGGAAGGTTGAAAATTGGACGTGCCCATTCATCTAAAAGTGAAATAATTCAACTCATTTAACACATTTATAAACATAACAACTTATTAATCGTCGAGCTCGATTCTGATTATCTTTAGTCTCTTTCGGGTGTTTACGAAGCATCATCACTACTTTGCCGATACCAGATGATCGTAAAATCTGGTGGTCCAAAGTCGGAAACTAAATAAAACAAAAGCATTATAACATACATGGCATAGTTAGCTGCTGTGACGTATTTTCCCGCTGTTGAAATCAATCAATGAATTTGCTGTCAACATCATAGCATCGACTACAACAGTCAATTAATCTCTCCGCTCAGCCCCGAAAGCTCACCCGACGAGACGGTATTCTCAGTACCGTTTGACAGCAACTGCCGTGCATGGATACAAAACAGCATCACGAACCTTTGTCGAACAAAAAACATGCTCGACTACTAATAATATACTATATATAGCATAGACAATGGACTAGATTAACAGGCATGATCTCTGCCTGATACGACTAAACGAGAAAATAAGCCGACCATGTGACTCGCTTATTAAGAGACAACCGGTTGAGGCCAAGAATTAGAACTTGGTTACGTTGAACTGCAGCCGCTCGATCGGTTGGTTTTTCAAGGACATGCTGAAACAATTCCATGGTCAAATTTGTTGGCTAGAGGCGGAGGCATAAAGCAGAGAGCAGAAAATGCTGCAGGATCGTCGACTGACTAAACTGTCGTCATAACGGGAGCGTCACGAAAGCAAGTCGACGCCGTACGAATCCGCAAAAGAGACTGTGTATGTCGTTGTCAGTTTTACCGGTATCAAAAATTAGCTCTGCTAGCAAATTTAGAACATAACTGACATTTCTTTCGATTTCGTTTTTGCCTTTCGTTACCTTTTGATATGCGACAGTTTTTTCTTCTTCAGATTTCAGATGTACATAAGAACTATCATATACTCTCGATTCTGTCTTTGCGACGTCTTATACCGATAGGAGAACACACATAAACAGGATAAGGAATAGATGGAAAAAAAGTGAATTAGATACACTTTAAAGAAAACGCAACTTGTTCTATTGAATGATCACGGCTTGAAAATGAAGGGTTTTCATGAAAGTTACGAAACTGCTCGCATCAGAATGAATGTTCAACATTTTACACATGAACTATACAACATTTTACCAGTTCGAGAACTTTCAACAATTCCGTACGAACTTCCAGAGAAGGAAGACTTTTGTCTGGCAACAGTTTAAGCCACTCCTATAAAAATGAAGAACAGACATAAAGAACTTTGAAAAGGACAACAGATGTAAGTAAACGTACAGCAATTACGTTGACCATGCCGAGTTCAATGAAAGCTGACTGCAAATCAGATCTAAAACATATATGATATTTATTAATCAATATTCAAAGAATTGGCATTCTTTATATGCTCATTTTATGAAATTTTTTAAATTCATCCATTATTTGGTGGTCAGACCTGCCACACATGGTACTGACGCCTTCGAAAATTATACCGGCTCGGTCGTCGCCCGGGTTACCAAGGGCCGCGCAGGCT